TTTAAAACGCAATCACTTCCATTAATGTTGCAGCGATGTCTTTGCTACAATTCTGCGTAACAGAAATTGCAAACTGTTGGATATCAATTTCCATGAAGGGTGAAACAACAAATTGCGCCACTATAGCGTTGAAATCCTTGAAACGATTTTTGAAGTTATCCTTCAAGTTACAGACTATTTATAAATGATATTTACTGTCATATAGTTCTAATAGACTTTGAAATACCTTTTCTAAAAAATAGGAAAATTCTTGTTATCGCCATCGATCAAGTTTTGTTCCTAAAACTCAAGCTTTTTGATAAACGCTCTTATATCAGAAATCATTTCTGTTAGTCCTTTGTCTCTCCCCTGAAGCTGAAAATTAAATTCATTCAATTTTTCTGTAATATTCACAAGAAAACTAAAATCTCTACTTAACCATCGGAGTTCAGAGTGAAGAAGTAGTTCCCCGTCTTAACAGTCAATTTCATCGGCCAAGGTTTTGAATAGTCTCCTTTGTAGCGTTTGAGCTCTAATCTTGTTCACAATTTTTACTACCAATTGCGTAATGATATGCGTAATGATGTTTAGTTTCAGAAACTGTTCACATAATACTTGCTGATGAATACTGCAGCGGTAACAGAGAAATTGCGAAAAACTCTCATCTTTACGACATAACCCCACGACACCCTTATTACGACCCACCATAGCTGGAGCACCATCGGCTGTCAAGCCTACCATTTTCGATATTGGAATTTTCTCAGAAGAAACAATATTTTTAAAAGAAGAAAACAAGTCCTGCCCAGTAGTCTGTCCGTTTAGTGTAATAAACTTCAAAAGATCTAGATGCTAAAGTTGAGTTCCTAACAAATACACTGATGAGAGTTTATGATAAACATGCTCCTGGCTCCAAGGCTATCTTTTCGCCTACGTGACGTTCTGCAAGAAAGAGACATTGCCCATACTACATATAAAACAAATAAAACTGTAGAAAACCTAAATATTTACAAGCAAAAAAGAAATCACGCGCTTACTCAGGTGAGGAAAGAAAAAAGAGCATATCTACAATTTTTATCTGAACAGAATGACGGATAAAAGGTATGGATTGGCTTAAAGCAGCTTAATATACTAAGTGACATATAAATCCGAACACCCAGTTTAAATGGTTTTATTTTAATAAAATTTGGTGAATGTATTTATCTTACTGTAAATAACAAGTGAAAAAATGTTCAGTCTTATCAGTTGGACATTCCGGTTTTTATACTGCTTTTTTTAATTCACTAACGCTCTAAAAATGAATATTTCAGCCACAGTAAAGAATCAACGTTGGCGGATTTTGGTTCTTGACATCCTTTACGATCGGTTACGATGCCTAGAGTACGGAGACCTGTACGATTTCGTCAACTTAGTGAGTTTGATAGGGGCCGTATAGTGGGACTTCGGGAAGCTGGACTTTCTTTTCGGGCAATTGCAGTTAGAGTGCAAAGAAGTGTAGACACTGTGGTTAGGTGTCGTCAGGCATGGCTTCGAGAAGGCCGTACGCAAAGAGCAAGGGGCACTGGACGCCGCCGTAGAACAACAGACCGTGAAGATCGCCGCCTAAGATTATTGGCCTTAAGGGACCGTTTCTCCACTACCAGGTCCATTGCAAATGAATGGTTTGCAGAACACGGAAGACCTATTGGCATGCGAAGTGTTTACCGACGAATGAGAAGTTTTGGCTTGTTTTCATACCGGCCACACTGGGTCCTCCCTTTAACTCGCGAACACCGACGTAATCGCTTTGAGTGGTGCAGACAACGGTCACTCTGGGATCAGGAATGGAACAGTATTGTCTTTAGTGACGAGTCTCTCTTATGTTTAGGCATGCACGATGGTCGTGCCAGGGTTAGAAGGCGACTTGGTGAAAGGAGGAATCCACAGTTTTTTGTTGAAAGACATGTTCATCACACTGTTGGAGTTATGGTTTGGGGTGCTATAGCTTATGATTCCAGGTCACCTTTAATCTTCATCAGAGGTAACATGAACGTGCAGCGTTATATCCACGAAGTTCTAGAACCCCATCTTTTTCCCTATCTTGACACCCTGGCAGATCCAACTTTCCAACAAGATAATGCCCGACCACATGTTGCAAGAGTCACAATAGACTTCTTTCAACATAATGATGTCACATTGTTACCATGGCCACCAAGATCTCCCGACTTATCCCCAATTGAGCACGTGTGGGATATGATGGGTAGGAGATTGCTCAATTTGCAACGTCTTCCTCAGACTCTAGAAGCACTTCGAGAGGAGTTGGTGGTTGCCTGGAATGAGATACCACAGGAGGACATTGACCACCTGATCAGAAGCATGCCTAGGCGTGTTGGAGAATGCGTAGCACATCAGGGTGCATCCACACATTATTAAAGGTCAAAGGGCTTTAAAGCAGTGCAATCATTTTGAAATTTTTATCATTTACTTATTATGCTTCATTAAGTACTTATACAAAATTTTATTAAAATAAAACCATTTAAACTGGGTGTTCGGATTTATATGTCACTTAGTATATAAATTCTCAGGCAAAACCCCCTCTTCCAGATAATCTATTTGATCCAAATGAAATCAATGAGTATTTTAGGTCAGTTTACAGTACAAATAATGCGTCGGAAGAATTATGCCACCTATACAAAAATCGTCACTTCTTTCCACCTGATTCTTTCTCATTCAGAATCATTGATCCTTCAGATATTCTACAAACAATTAAATCTCTTAGATCAGATGCCACAGGAATAGATGGTCTCACGCTAACTATGGTAAAGGTAAGCCAATTATCAATCTATGTCTTGAAACCGGTTACTTCCCTAAAATTTGGAAGCAAGCAAAAACTTTGAAACCCGGTCTCCTATCATCTCCGATCAGTTTACTACCTATTTTGTCAAAAATCCTTGAAAAGATTGTTCAACTTCAACTTACATCATACATTGAAGTCCATCAGATAATCCCACCTAATCAATCGGGATTTAGGAAACATTACAATACAACATCGGCTTTATTTAGCATATTAGCTTTAATATCAGTCGACTACTCTAAAGCCTTCGATAACACAGATCATAAACTTTTATCTGCTAAGCTACGTTCTGTTGGTTGTGATGAGGTTGTAATCAAATTTTTTGAAAGTTATCTTAAAAACATGACTCAATGTGTTTGAGTGAAGAGTATTACATCGGATGTCTCTCGCATAGGGGACCTCCTAGCTTACGTCACGCAACTGTGGAGTAAACTCATCCAGTCTCATGGTGAGGCTCATGTCGTTGCTCTTGACATCACGAAAGCGTTCGATCAGCTGTTGCACGCTGCCCTCTTAAGCAAACTTCCATCCTACGGCCTCCCAGAAAAGCTTTGCAGATGGGTGGCTGACTTTATCTCTGGCCGCAAGATATCCGTCGTAATTGACGGATTCTCCTCTTCATCCCACAACGTCAACGCAGGTGTTCCCCAGGGATCGGTCTTGGCTCCAACACTGTTTCTCTTACATATCAACGACCTCCTTTCCTGCACGATCAACCCAATCCACAGCTTCGCTGAGGACAGCACTCTACATGCAGGAATTCAGAGTGACAAGCCGATCTCTGCCGCTGAGCTGGAAAAAAGAAGACTAGCGACGACTTCTTCTTTGACAAGAGACTTGGAGGCTATCACTGCTTGGGGACGCAACAATCTTGTACAGTTCAATGCTTCCAAAACACAGTACTGTACTTTGACGAACAAAAAGCGTCCTAGCGCTCATACAGTTTCGATGGACGGTCGAGTTCTACCAAAGAGCCATTCATTTCGGCTGGTCGGAGTCCAGATCACCGAGGACCTGATCTGGCACGAACACATCTCTTCAATAGCTGCAGCTGCTGGGAAAAAGCTAGGCTATTTGTTTAGGGCTAAGAAGTACTTTTCTCCGCATGACCTTCTCACTCTATACAAGGCCCAGATAAGGCCTAGCCTCGAGTATTGCTCACACATTTGGGGTGCTGCCGCCCCGACTACATTGTCCATGCTCGATGCTGTCCAGAGGAGGGCGGTCCGACTGATCGATGACTCTTCTCTAACAGACAGTCTCGGGTCTCTTTCGCACCGGTGGGTCGTCGGCGATCTAGCTCTTTTCTATCGCTACACCAACGGGCTTTGCTCCTCAGAGCTCTCTTCCATGATGCCGCCGCGCGATGTGCCTGCCAGACAGACCCGCCTGACTTCGGCGTCCCATCCTAACCGTGTCAAACTTCGTACATCAAAAACTGGCCGATACGACCGCTCCTTTGTCCCGGGTGTCTAGATTGTGGAACAATCTACGGGAGGAAGCTTTTCCCAGTTCTACTAACCTTAGGCAGTTCAAAAATCGTATTAACAAAATTTCTTTGGGATCATCATAGCAGCCGCGGTGTTCCGGCATTTAGGCTTCTGCCTGCGCGGCTGTTTCGATATAAAAAAAAATATATATATATTCAGGAGTGCCTCAGGGTTCTATTTTTGGACCTCTTTGTTTTTAATATATAAATTTGACTTATCTTGATCAGTCTACATATTATTATCTTCTTTAATCGTAAAATCACTAAAAACCGTCCTGATGAACACAGCCATCTGAGAGGTGTCAACGACATCTGTGGATTCATCCAGCTGCAGTGAAAAATAAGCACAGTCATCGAAGTCTCGCCTCATCACTGTATTAGCAGAAAGTTGCATAGATTTTATAGCAGACACTATCTCTAACTCTAACCCAACCCCTGGACTTTGTGCAGTTCAGTTTTAAACTGAGCGCACTGTCGCCGCGTCTTGCGTATTTACTTATTATAGATCGTTCTCGAACAGATCGCTCAACGTAGTGTTACCGCTGCTTGTGTTCATTAAGAGAATTTAGAAGCTCGTATAGTTTTTACACCTTTTAAAATATGTGGTCAGCAAACAGAATTACCTTTGCGAGCTACCGGTAGCTCGCGATTGACGGGTTGGCGATAACGGCGCTACAGTATCCATCCTCTTTTTTTTATACTCTAACTACCACGAAGGCCTAAGGCCTAAACACCCATTGGGTACCGTGGGGCTATAGGGGGATACAGGGGAAAGGGGGAACGCCACACGGACTCTGGCGAGGGAACACACATTCTGGCTCCGCCTACGAGATCCGCCGGGTGGTACCTCCACGTTCTACAGTCAGAGACCATCTACCACCTACGGACAATCACAACATCCATAGCCAAGAGAAAATTTTCTCCTGGGACGGGACTCGAACCCGCACAGCACACGGCGACTGATCAGGAGACCGAAGAGTCTACTACTGCGGCCACCGCTGCTGCTTGATAAACAAAATACAATAAGCGATGCTTTATATAGTGCGCTCCAAAAATAAACCACCTATTTCGCCTTTACCTTTTGAACACAAGGTAGAGGCTGGATTTACGTGATTTTAACGGGTAAAGTTGACGAGCCGAGTTATAGGGTGGTGCGATGGATTTATGAATACTATGTTTTGACGCCTGAAAATATTTCAGCATTTATAACATGAAGTATAGATTCACTATCTTTCGAAGTAGCGAACTGACAGACTGTCAAAGGTGAGCGTTTTTGTATAGGTCTTTCCATGGTTTTTGGAGGGTCATAGTAAGAGCATTTTAATTTTCCAACATAGTCATCATAAGCATTTAAACAATAGTCAATTCGTCAACTTTTGGATCCCGTCGTTAAAGAACGCCGAAGCTTCACCGTTAAACCAACTAGTAATTGTTTCTTTTAACATGCCATCACTTGCAAGCCCTTTCCACCAAGAAGTTTCTTAAGTTTTGGATAAAGATGTTTCATGGTGCTACGTTGCGTCTGTGTTCTTGCCGCGACGTGAGGCCGAGCGTTGCCGTGATGCAGAATGACACCGCGAGAGAGTAGGAATAGCGCGCCTAAGCCTTAATAATATTCCACAGCACCTCTCAGTATTTATAGCCGAACGAGCTTTTTTGCGTTTAAAAAACGACATTACTGAGCGCATTCGGCCGATTTACTGAGCGACAAACATAGCAGTATAACCACGCAATCAACACCACAGGGACGTGAAATGTAATGGCGGCGTAGTGGAAGACTGGCTAAGAGTGTCTGAGGTTGAACGGATGTCACGTATCAGGATGCGCAGGTTCGATGCGTAATCGGTTCTTACTCTGAAAACGGCCCTCGGATTTTCCTGGCATCTGACAATCTACCTGAGGAAGCTTTTCCTAGTTGTATTTTCTTTGGGCAAATTAAAAATCGGATTTATATAGTTCCTTTAGGGTGGATTTCACCAGGATTGTCAAATCAACAGTCCCTCATTCTCCACCAATATGGTCAAGTCAAGTCATCGTTGGTTGTCAGAGCGGTCCGTGGGACCTTTGCTCTTGAGTCACAGTGTCAGTTTGTAAATCTGTCAGGTCTGGTAACCCAGAAACCAGACAATTTTAAGGAAAAAAGGGGAAGGAAAGGAGAGAAGGAAGAACGAGAGCAAAGGGGAAGAAGAGAATCTTTTAGGATAGGCAGCGCTTAGGCATTGTTAAAATCACTTCACAGATTTTGAATGGTCTAAAAATATTTGATTTTTTTTTTCTAAAGATTGTGTAAAAATGCTCCAGTTTTGGTCGTTCTAAGTTCACGAGTTAATTTTGATTACAGTGCGAGCCGCGGCCTTTTGTGCTTGCGAACTTGCTCGACTGTGTAGTCTACTGACTCACGCAACAGAGGGTTGCTGTGCGATTCCGCTAGGCTATAGCGCCGCTGCGCCTGTTGCTTAATGTCGTCCTTTAGGTAAGGGATATCGAGGTCTCTATGTAGAGTTTCGTTAGAGACATACCATGGGGCATCAGCAATAGGGCGCAACGTCCTGCTTGCAGATTTCGCATGTGTGTTTTAGCAATAAAACACCAAGCCGCACATGCGTAAGTCATTGCTGGTCTTATGACCACCTTATAGAGTCGAATCTTGTTAATCAAACTTAATTTTGACCGTTTACATAATAATGGGTAAAGCTGCCGAAACGTAATTTGGAATTTAGTTTTTAGCGCTTCCATATGGTTCCGCCAAGTCATCCCTTTGTCCAGAATGACACCGAGATACTTAGCGGAGGATTCCCATGGTATACGAAGTCCATTCATTGAAACTTCAGACGGAACGCCGCGACGTCTTTTTGTACAGTAGATTGCCTGCGTTTTCGAATGGTTTATTTTAATTAGCCACCGATCCGCCCAATCTAATACTTCCTCCACCGCACTTTGCAGCCTGTCATGGACTAGGTCACCAGACCACGACTGAGCCACCAATGCAGTATCGTCAGCATAGAGATAGACTTCACAGTTGCTGGGACTAGGGACGTCATGGATGTACAGTGAGTAAAGGATAGGTCCAAGGACCGAACTCTGAGGGACGCCGGCTGTAATCAGCCGTGTTGTCGACAGGACGTTGTCAATTTTGATCCGAAATTTCCTACCTTCAAGGAAGGATTTCAGTAGTTTTAGAAGCCAAAAAGGGAAGCCCTTTTGGATTAGTTTATACAAGAGGCCCGCGTGCCACACCTTGTCAAATGCTTTTGAGACATCTAAAAGCAAGATGCCAGTACTTTCGTTAAGGGTGAATCCTCTGGTTACACGTTCCACCAGCCTAACCGCCTGTAGCTCCGTACTATGTTCAGACCGAAAACCGAATTGCACGTCAGGAATCACATGGTGATCTGACGAGAAATTCTCAAGGTGACGTAGAATCACCTTTTCAGCGAGCTTAGACGCAGCTGACAGTAGGCTAATGGGACGATAATCCTGGGGAAATATCGAACCCACCTTCTTTGGAATCATTATAACTTCAGCGGTCTTCCACGCGGATGGGAAGTACTGGATCCTTAGCATGGCATTGACTATTGCCACGAGATAAGTTAAGGACTTCCGCGAAAGCAGCTTCAGCGCCTTATTAGTGATTTGATCCTCCCCAGGTGCTTTACGCACTTTAAGGTCTTTAATATGACCTTGAATCTCTGCTGGTGTGCAATGCGGGATCTCAGGAGATACCGCTGATGTGCTAAGCAAATCTTCGGTTGAAGAAGCTTCTGAAGAAGAATCTTCTGATGAAGAAAAATCACCAACGAATGCGCGACTGTCACTGACGCCGTTGGCCCTAAAATATCTCCTGACAGATCTTACGATGTGTTGCTCCTCGTCGAGGTCATTATCAAGATCATAGTTGGGAGAGAGCTGTCTTTCTATGGCATCGGCGAAAACCTCAACCTTCTCCTCTGTCCTGAAGACAATGCCTCCAGGACCGTGAATGTGTGGGATTTGTTCACGCTTTCCGTTTTTGAGCGACTTCGCCACCTTCCAAAGAGGAATGCTTGAGTCAAGCATCCCCGCCAGAAAGTCGTTCCATTGCTCATTGCGGAATTCATGAAGAGCATTTCTTACTTCGTGAACAAGATTCGTCGCTCTGCGAATGTCATCAGGATGACAAGACCTTTTCGCTTGCTTAATTGCAGCTCTTTTATCAGAAATTTTCTGACGAATGTCTGCTGGCAGAAAAGGTCTGCCGTGTCGCTGCACGGGAAGTACAGCTGCACGCTGCAGAGTTTGCGGAACAAAACTTGTCCACTCTGCTTGAGCCGCATCTATACCGTTCTCATCATCTATGATCGGTATATTGGGGAACTCTTTGAGGAGCGACTTGTATAGCTCCCAATCAATGCGTTTCCTTGGAGGGATTTCATCCCCCAAGATCTGCTCATTAGCCACTTCCAAAACGACGGGAAGATGATCGCTTGAGATGTCATACATGATTCGAGTAGTGATACTGTAGCTACAGTTTTTGGATAATGCCAAATCAAGAACATCAGGTGCCTGAAGGTGATTAAATGGGTGGTGCGTCGGCTCGTCAGTACTATGTATGAGGTAGTCATTTCGTATCACATGGTTGTACAGTCGGATCCCACTGGTGGAATTCAACCTGGAATGCCATGCTCGATGTTTGCAGTTGAAGTCCCCTGCCACAATAAGTGGACCCGAGCAGTCTAAAAGGACTTCCAGATCCGCCTCTTGCAGCCTGTTACCACACCTGACATACACCGATGTGATTTTTAACGGCACACCTCCCGTCATATTGACCACCACGGAAGCCGCTTCGATGCTCTGCATGTCAGCGTTTCTGCTTCTGTGGTAGTCAATACCGCGTTTCACTAGCACTGCCAAGCCGCCACCCCGTCCAGTCAATCTATCAGCCCGGATAACATCGTAAGGAACTGAACAAACATCCACAATATATTTACAGTGATCAAGAAATACTCGAATGTATGTCGTAAACCTACCGGCAAACTTAGAACCTGCAAAAAACTAGAATTTGCAATAACTTTCTTGTTTCACTGAGTACACATTCTAGATTATATACTAAGTGACATATAAATCCGAACACCCAGTTCAAATGGTTTTATTTTAATAAAACTTTGTATAAGTACTTGATGAAGCATAATAAGTAAATGATAAAAATTTCAAAATGATTGCACTGCTTTAAAGCCCTTTGACCTTTAATAATGTGTGGATGTACCCTGATGTACTACGCATTCTCCAACGCGCCTAGGCATGCTTCTGATGAGGTGGTCAATGTCCTCCTGTGGTATCTCATTCCAGGCAACCACCAACTCCTCTCGAAGTGCTTCTAGAGTCTGAGGAGGACGTTGCAAATTGAGCAATCTCTTACCCATCATATCCCACACGTGCTCAATTGGGGATAAGCCGCAAAATAGCTGCTTTGGTACCTCGGGTTATACATCTTGATAGTAGGGATGTTCGATACAATCCTATATTTAGAGGTATCGGTACTTGCTTTCCATACCCGATATTTTGGATCGATATTTTTATATACGACACTTGGGTGCATCGATTATTTCACAAGTATCGTCATCTTTCGATCCGGACTGTGTCAGAAAGAGTGACTAACTCTAGATTACTTTTCTTCTTTGTTTCCTTCCGTTGGATATCGATAATTTTATTCCAATATTTTACAGTATCGATACTTCCTAACACGATAAGAACCGATACATATCGATACTTTTCGTGGATCTGGACATCCCTAATGTCAACTGGGCTGCAGGGTGCGGTGTTGCCTTTACTGCTTTGACAGCTTCCGTCAAATTGCATTTCGATAAGGTCCTTTCCTATTGGTCCAACTGACCGTCAAATATTAATGTTGGTGAAATTGGCCCTTAGGCTCATAATAGCA